TTAATCGACCGAGCGTATCACGACTGTAAGACGCCATGTTAGATATCTACAGAATATTTTTCTTTGGGAATACAACCACGTTACCGGGGATATCTGCTATTATTAGAATTCAGACTTTATTCAGAAGCAAACGAAGTTCGTTACGATAAATGGCGAAGATTGCCGATTTCATTAAGGGTCTAATACCTTAAATGATTATAAGATCATACAAACATTTTCTCAGATCACAGGTATTTGATAAGTCCTGACACTGACCAATGAAAATACTTAGATTCGGGACAAGCTCTGAGATAAAGTTTATGACCTCGGGGCCTGAATTTTATTGGAATTTGATTTACAAGCCTCGGACACTCGGTAAAATTTACGTTGGTACAAAATTCAGTAAGATTATAAGAATATCCTAGAAAAATGTTATGACCCAGCAGACATTTTCACAAAAAATATTACGATTTATCTTAAGTTTTTCACTTACGATAATCGTAAGTTAAATCTAAGGTCATTTTCACAAAGCCACTGCATACATTTTCACAAAAAATCTTACGATTTATCTTAAGTTTTTCACTTACGATAATCGTAAGTTAAATCTTAAGTCATTTTCACAAAGCCACTCGTAAGTTAAAATTTTATCTTAAGATAAAAAATTCACTTACGATAAATCTTACGACAAAAACATCTCTAGCAACGTTCATTTGATAGTGATGTGCATGCTCTATATTTGATTCCGGTTTTAAAATCAAGTAATCAAGAGCTTGAAATATCTATTGAACACAATCAAATTTCAATAAGAACAAAAAAATGATTCAAACTGATATAATTTATATCTTGATTGAAGATAATAAAATATATCTTAAAAGATTTAGAAAGAAGGTCTACTATGTTATTATTTAATAAAAAGGTACCACTAGTACATGCTGGCAATGAAATCGAACTCACCCATTGTACAAATTATAAGTTTTCAATAATACTAGTCTACAAGATAGTCCACATTATTTTTAACTATTCATAACCCTCTCCATTGTGACGTCATCAAGTCATGACGTCACAAATGTTTATGTTGAAAAATAATTATACCTCAATTTGTGTTATTTATAGCATACTGTTTGCTTATATTTATTTGTCCTCCAACGTTTTGTTTGTTTTTATTCAGTTTAGGTAAGAGATACATGATATTTTACACTTAAGAGAGAAAAAATTACACTTACGAACGGGGAAGACCTATCGTAAAGTTACGACAGATTTTGCACTTAAGATTTTTTGTGAAAAGGAGATTTATCGTAAGATTTCTCTTACGACAAAAAATTGTCGTAGGATTTTTTGTGAAAATGTCTGCTGACTCGTAAGTTAAAATTTCATCTTAAGATAGAAAATTCACTTACGATAAATCTTACGACAAAAACATCCCTAGCAACGTTCATTTGATAGTGATGTGCATGCTCTATATTTGATTCCGGTGTTAAAATCAAGTAATCAAGAGCTTGAAATATCTATTGTATATAATCAAATTTCAAAAAGAACAAAAAAAATGATTCAAACTGATATAATTGATATCTTGATTAAAGATAATTATATATATGTAAACGATTCAGAAAGAAGGTTTACTATGTTATTAATAAATAACAAGGGTGCCATAGTCACAAAATACGCCCGTTTACGAAAGCTTTAGATAGAGATGGGGGCATTATGGATAAGTGTTATCTAGCAAGCAAGTTTTTATTCTTGGCACTGTGTTGTTAAATGAACCTTAAAACAAATCAGTAGGGAAGATATGCACAGGATGTGTGACCTTGGTCGCAGGGACCTGAATTTTATGCACGGCACTCAGTCTCACAATGATGAACATTTGTGCCAAATTATATTGAAATCCCTCTATGCATGTAGAAGTTTTGCTCCAGACAAGCGTTTTTCTATGAGCTCTAACTGTGATCTTCACCTTTGACCTAGAGACTTGGTTCATGTGCAGGGCACTACGTCTCATGGTGGTGAACAATTCTATAAAGTAACATTAAAATTCCTCCATGCATGTAGAAAATATGCTCCGGACAACATCTGGATATTTAATCATCTCCAGTGACATTGACCTTGCAAATATTAACCTAAATAAAATGTGTTACACCTATAGTCATGATAGTTACCATTTGTGCTACAATCCATCAATAAATGATGACTAAATGGTCCCTATACACATCTTCAAATTTTTATCTGAACTTTGACCTCTATGTGTAACCTTGACTTTGGTCGCAGGGATCTGAATTTTGCGTGCGACACTACAGCATGGTTCACATTTAAACTATTCATAACCCTCTCCATCGTGACGTCATCAAGTCATGACGTCACAAATGTTTATGTTGAAAAATAATTATACCTCAATTTGTGTTATTTGAAGCATACTGTTTGCTTAATATCTATTTGCCCTCCAACTTTTTGTTTATTTTATTCAGTTTAGGTAAGAGATACATGATATTTTACCCTTAAGAGAGAAAAAATTACACTTACGAACAGGGAAGAGCTATGGTAAAGTTACGACAGATTTTGCACTTAAGATTTTCTTAAGATTTTTTGTGAAAAGGAGATTTATCGTAAGATTTCTCTTACAATAAAAAATTGTCGCAAGATTTTTTGTGAAAATGTCTGCAGTTGTTTTTATGACGATCAGCAAGTTTTGTGGTTAGCTAACATTGTGTTAAATGTTCCTTATTACAAGTATTTTGGGAACTCCGTAATGATTTTATAGAATATACGAGGGTTGTTCGGAAGTTTTGAGACTGGGTCAATATTTAGCGTTGGAAAAGATAAAATCAAACAAGAGTTTACTATGTATTACTTTAATACCTCATCTATTATATTGTAAAATTTCATAACAATAGCTTCATGTATACAAAAGCTACAAAGCGTTAGGCACAGACACTACCGGTGACCCGGCGCACGCAACGACGTTATCCGACGTTGCCGTTATTTCCAGAGTTTAACGTCACCGTAGAAAAGTCAACTGCTACTCCTTTTCAAAGTATCTTCCTTCACAACGTACACATTTCTCATGCCTCGTAACCCACTTGGCGAATACATTTCTATACCAGTCAGATTTAAATGTTGCAATAATGCTCATAACTCTAGAGCGCAGTTCAACTAGGTCCTCAAACCGGATTCCTCGTAGTTCGGATTTGATGGCCGGAAAAACGGAAAAGTCCATTGGGGCCAGGTCGGGTGAGTAGTTGTCTTTTGTTGACTTTCTGCCATCCCGAAACTCTTTATGCCATCTAAATACCAATGGTCGACTAACAGTACGTCCGTTGTTTGCCTGTTCTAGAAGTTGCTTAGTTTCTGTTGGCGTTTTCCCAAGATTAACGCAAAACTTAATAAAAACACGCTGTTCCTCTTTTGACGGTGTTTCCATAGTCGTTGTCTTGTCGCGCACGTATTGCTATAATGATCTGCGGTAACGGCTTAAACAACTAGCGGAAATGACGTCCTTAAGTTGGAAGTAACGCCATAAAATTTTCGTGACGTTTGGCGCAATTTTAGGGGCTCTTTTTATTCAGTAAGAAAACTTATAACAAGAAAATATTCCGTGCGCCAGGATGCGTAGACAGGTGTTGCTATGGAAACGATTATATGCCGTATAGTAACGTTACAACGTTTTAAAGACATAACTCGGATAAATAACATATTAAGCTATAATTTGTATTAAATAATATTCGCAGCTGTAATTAGAAACAGAGAAAATCATATTGTCTCAAAACTTTCCGAACAACCCTCGTACATTTTTTCCAAATTTGTACCGTCTGGTAAGCTAGATATGATTCAGAATAAGACGGAAACAGATTACAAGATGGAACCATTTGTTTTATGTAAATGAGAGTGAGATAAGGACTTGTTCGGACACGTGTTCATGCAAGGATATAATTTTTACAAAACGTCAAACTGTCTTTGCTTATCCAGAATAACAACGGTAAAAGTGAGGGTAGGGTTTTGTCCTCATATTACAGTTCCTGTCCTGGTAAGGAGGGTTTTTAAGTGAAACAATGTTCTCATTTCACGGGTTTGGTCATCTCTCTCACTATCTTATAATATTTTATCGCAAGAAATGATTTAGTAAACTTCGATTTCATTTCAGTTTGTGCTGTAGAAAAGGGAATGATTATTATAGACAGTTATTTTAATCTTTCGTGTTATAAAGAATTCCCTTCCTTCCGTCTCACACTTGTCATAGAGAAAGATAACAAACGTTAATTACTCAAACTTCTATAAGGGTAGTATAAATCATTCCAAAGTTAATTTTCTAGACAAAAGTCATTGCCAACATATGTTATAAAATTACATTAATACAATTATGTACTTTATTCATGGAAATTAAATTTTTTTAAGTAATTCTCTATTTTTTGACCAAATAACAAACAAAATGGTGTGATATATGTTTAAAATTTTATTAAAAACTCTTTACTAAAATATGAAATACATTTTGTTTGTCAATCATTTTTAGTGTCAGCATCACTGTTGAGATGAAAACTGTCTCATATCACACATATTTTATCAATATGTTTTAGACAAATGTCATTCCCGTAACATTAAAATAAAGTAACTTTAAAGCATTTAAATATCTCATTTTCTAATTTTAAAAAAAAACATGAAGCAGCACTTTACAATTAATTGAGCATTATTCGCAATATACTATAACATCTTTTAATTTTATTTACCATAAAACCAATGATATAATAGAACAGTTATGAAATGAAATACATAAAACAGTACGAATGACAGCACAAATATTGTATGCCTTCAATGGTATCATTTAACACACACAAAACAGTGGTTCAGTTTATCTATTTCTACTTGTTTTATGTCCAGAACCTTTTCCAAATACTTTCAACAGCAGCCTACATATCATCATGTATCTTACGGTTCCTTTTTGTGACATGAACAGGATCCTTGTCCAGAACTGTGATAATTGATTTCCGGTCATACCATAAAATATCATCTCTCATAGGCCAAAACTATCTATTTCGTCAATTTACCAGCCAACGTTCCACTACATCAAGTATTTTATAGTTGGCATCAAATACAAGCTGTATAACAAGATAATAATAAATAATGATGAAAAATATATGTATATTTGATCGGCCAAAATAAATGATACATGTTTGCTTTAATAAGGGTTGGAATATCTTAAATGACACAGTAAAATTAAAATTAAATACAAAATTATTAGATTGACAAATTTTGCCAAATGGTGACTTCAAAATATGCATGTATAGCCAATATTTTTTTTTTTGTTTTGATTAAAAATTAATTATATACAACCGTTTGACTTTGTTGAGGGAGCTTTGATTTCCTCTAACAGCATCTTTACAAATACTGACCTGTGTAATAATAGAATGGTATCCCATTCTATTCACATATGATGCCTCTTCAAATGTTGGCGCCTGAATTTGGATGTTATCAGAATTTGAGAAAGGATGGATAAACTGTAATTCCTGCCGGTTGAAGGTGATAAAACCTGTAATTCATAATTTAGAAACAACATCCCATCACGATCCAAACGGTATCTTTGAATTAATTCTAAATTGCCAAGTATGCCCTGTCTTTCTTTAAAATGTCTTCTTGCCATTGCCTGCAACAAGTACTTTTTTCTTTTATTGAACCGAAAGGATACCAAACCAATGTTTACGTATACAGGACAATATGTGTTTGTTTAAAGTAAAAGATAGTAAGCAATGAATCATATTTAATCTTAAATATATTATCTTAAAGCTGTATGTCTCTACATGAGCCAATTTCTTTTTTATTGAAAATTCAATTTGAGTAAAAGATACTACGTTTTTAAGAACAGTAAAAAAATCAGGATTCAAATCATGATTCACATGTCATATACGCTTAAAGCTGCATGCCTCCAGATGAGCGAAAAAAAATTTTAATAAAATAAAACTTGAGGAAGATGTACTTGGATTTTAGGAAAAGTAAAAATATTCAAGATACATGAAATGTGCGATTAATGACTAATTTTCCAGTATTAATAACTATATTTCCAGTGCGTTACTAACGCAATAAGGGCTATTTTTGTATATTTTGTCCTCTTTTTCGTAACTTACGTGGGTTGTAAGTGTTATTGATAATATAAAAATTGCTTCCTTTTGGTTATTTCAATAAATATAACTTCAAAAAACATTTTCAGAATTTTCATGAAAAATAAGCTTGAATTTGGAGGCGTGCGACTGATTTTGCATTAATCCTACCATACTTATACTGATAACGTTTCTGAATTGTAAGGTACATTTACTATGTGTAGATAATTTTGTTATTTCTTTTAAATTAAAATAACAATTTCTGGGGGCATGCTGCTTTTATTAAGAAACAGGTCTGGAAGTATTACTTGTAGATAATAATAACTTTTTTCCAGGTTTGACAGTATTATTGGAAATAAACTTATAAAAATAAATTCTGGTTGGGTGGGATGTTTTACATGCTATTCAAACCATATTCTTATCATTTAGACTTAATCATTTAGACTTAATGATAGAATAATTGCTTTGATTTTTGTGTGTAAGTATTTCAAAATTACAAAGTCATGTAATAAACAAGAGGTCCATGAAGACCCAAAATAGCTCACCTTAGATCATATGCAAGGTAATAATTACTATGTTGCAGTCATTTCCATGAATATCCAAAAGCAATTGTGGATGAGGGACATCAACGCCTTAGTGCTAAGTGGCTAATATCCCTAAATTTCAAAACACTGTTTTTGGTTGTTGTTTTTAGCTCACCTGTCACAAAGTGACAGGGTTAGCTTTTGTGATCGCTTTTCGTCCGGCATCCGTCCGTCGTCCGTAAACTTTTACTTTATATGACATCTCCACATAAACCACTAAGCCAATTTCATCCAAAGTTCACAGGAATGTTCCTATGGTGGTCACCTTTGAAAATTGTTCAAAGAATTTAATTCCATGCAGAACTCTGGTTGCCATGGCAAAGCTCCAACTGTGTGCTCGGGAAATTTATAAAGCGGTTAACGAAATCTGGACTACTTAGTGCATCTGTGACTTTAGCAATTACACGTGATACTGTAGGCTGTGATACACAGTGCATATCAGCATTATTAAGTTGTATAGTTCCTGTTGCAAGGTACCACAATGTTGTCAGAACTTGAGAGAGGCTGGATAAACTGTAATTCCTGTTTGTTGAAGGTGATAAAACCTGTAATTCATCATTCAGATTCAACATCCCATCACGATCCAAACGGTATCTTTCAATTAATTCTAAATTGCCAAGTATGTCCTGTCTTTCTTTAAAATGTCTTCTTGCCATTGCCTGCAACAAGTACTTTTTTCTTTTATTGAACCGAAATGATACCAAACCAATGTTTACGTATACAGGACAATATGTGTTTGTTTAAAGTAAAAGATAGTAAGCAATGAATCATATTTAATCTTAAATATATTATCTTAAAGCTGTATGTCTCTACATGAGCCAATTTCTTTTTTATTGAAAATTCAATTTGAGTAAAAGATACTACGTTTTTAAGAACAGTAAAAAAATCAAGATTCAAATAATGATTTACATGTCATATACGCTTAAAGCTGCATGCCTCCAGATGAGCGAAAAAAAATTTCAATAATAAGAATAAAACTTGAGGAAGATGTACTTGGATTTTAGGAAAAGTAAAAATATTCAAGATACATGAAATGTGCGATTAATGACTAATTTTCCAGTATTAATAACTATATTTCCAGTGCGTTACTAACGCAATAAGGGCTATTTTTGTATATTTTGTCCTCTTTTTCGTAACTTACGTGGGTTGTAAGTGTTATTGATAATATAAAAATTGCTTCCTTTTGGTTATTTCAATAAATATAACTTCAAAAAACATTTTCAGAATTTTCATGAAAAATAAGCTTGAATTTGGAGGCGTGCGACTGATTTTGCATTAATCCTACCATACTTATACTGATAACGTTTCTGAATTGTAAGGTACATTTACTATGTGTAGATAATTTTGTTATTTCTTTTAAATTAAAATAACAATTTCTGGGGGCATGCTGCTTTTATTAAGAAACAGGTCTGGAAGTATTACTTGTAGATAATAATAACTTTTTTTCCAGGTTTGACAGTATTATTGGAAATAAACTTATAAAAATAAATTCTGGTTGGGTGGGATGTTTTACATGCTATTCAAACCATATTCTTATCATTTAGACTTAATCATTTAGACTTAATGATAGAATAATTGCTTTGATTTTTGTGTGTAAGTATTTCAAATATTACAAAGTCATGTAATAAACAAGAGGTCCATGAAGACCCAAAATAGCTCACCTTAGATCATATGCAAGGTAATAATTACTATGTTGCAGTCATTTCCATGAATATCCAAAAGCAATTGTGGATGAGGGACATCAACGCCTTAGTGCTAAGTGGCTAATATCACTAAATTTCAAAACACTGTTTTTGGTTGTTGTTTTTAGCTCACCTGTCACAAAGTTACAGGGTGAGCTTTTGTGATCGCTTTTCCTCCGGCGTCCGTCCGTCGTCCGTAAACTTTTACTTTAAATGACATCTCCACATAAACCACTAAGCCAATTTCATCCAAACTTCACAGGAATGTTCCTATGGAGAACTCTGGTTGCCATGGCAACCAAAAGAAAAAACTTAAAATATCTTCTAAAAAACCCAAAGAGCTAGAGCTTAGATTTTTGGCATGAAACATCTTCTGGTGAGTGTCTACCAAGTTTGTTCAAATAAAAGCCCTGGGGTCAAAATTGGCCCTGCCCCAGGGGGTCATTGATTTTCCCTATATACATATAGTAAAAACTTAAATAAATCTTCTTTTAAAGAACCAAAAGAGCTAGAGCTAAGATATTTAGCATGAAACATCTTCTAATATATGTCTACAAAGATTGTTCAAATAAAAGCCCTTGGGTCAAAGTTGGCCCCACCCCAGGGGGTCATTGATTTTCCATTTATACATATAGTAAAAACTTAATAAATCTTCTTTTAAAGAACCCAAAGAGCTAGAGCTAAGATATTTAGCATGAAACATCTTCTAATGGGTGTCTACCAAGTTTGTTCAAATAAAAGCCCTGGGGTCAAAGTTTTACCGGCCCTGGGGGTCATTGATTTTCCAAATTTCCTTACATGTGTATAGGAAAAACTTAAAAAATCTTCTTTGGAAAAAAACAAATAGCTAGAGTTTAGATATTAAGCATGAAACATCTTCTAGTAATTGTCTACAAAAGTTATTCAAATTAAAGCCCTGGGGTCATAATTGGCCCCACCCCGGAGGTCATTCATTTTCCCTATATGTGTAAAACTATAGCACAAATTGAAAACTCTTCTTGTTTGAAAAAACTCAAATAGCAAGAGTTTAGATATTAAGCATGAAGCATCTTCTAGTGAGTGTCTTCAAAGTTTGTTCAAATAAAAGCCCTGGAGTCAAAATTGACCCCGCCCCGGGGGACATTGATTTTCCTTATATGAGTATAGCAAAAACTTAAAAATCTTCTTTTAAAAAACCCGAATAGCTAGAGTTTAGATATTAAGCATGAAACATATTCTAGTAAGTGTCTACAAAGATTGTTCAAATAAAAGCCCTGGGGTCAAAACTGGCCCTGCCCCAGGTGTGTCATTGTTTTTAACTATATGTGTAAAGAAAAAACTTTAAAAAATCTTCTTTTAAAAACCCCAACGAGCTAGACCTTAGATGTTTAGCATGAAACATCTTCTAATGGTTGTCTACAAAGTTTGTTCAAATAAAAGCCCTGGGGTCAAAACTGACCCTGCTCCGGGGCCTATGTACAGGTGAGCGACTTCAGGGCCATCATGGCCCTCTTGTTTAGCTCAGCAGAGCCGAAGGCTCAGGGTGAGCTATTAGTATCAAAGGGGAATGCTCCGTCGTCATGCGTCAACAATCGTCTTCTTCTCTGAAAGTACGAAACAGATTTACTTCAAATTTGGTCTGTAGCATCCTTGTGACAGTCACACTTGAATTTGCTCATGTCATTCCAATTGGCCCCTTTTAGGGGTCAGCAGAGCTAAAAGTAGAAAAACCTTTAAACATCTTCTTCTACAGAACTAAATGATGGATGATCATCAAACTTTGTCTGTAGCATTCTTGGGTAGTCTTTTATCAAGTTTGCTCATATTAATTTGATTGGCCCCTTTAAGGGGTCTCTAGGGCTAAAAATAGAAAAACCTTTAAACATCTTCTACAGAACTAATGGATAAATGACCACCAAATTTTGTCTGTAGCATTATTGGGTAGTCTTTTATCAAGTTTGCTCATATGAATTTGATTGGCCCCTTTTAGGGGCCGCTAAAGCTAAAAATAGAAATACCTTTAAAGGTCTATTTCGACAGGACTAATTGATGGATGATCATCAAACTTTGTCTGTAGGTAGTCTTTTATCAAGTTTGCTAATATTATTTTGATTGGCCCCTTTTAGAGGTCTCTAAACCTAAAAATAGAAAAACCATCAGAACTTATAGATAGATGATCACCAAACTTTGTCGGTAGCATTTTCTGGTAGTGTTTTATAAAGTTTGCTAATATTAATTTGATTAGCCCCTTTTAGGCGCCACTAAAGCTAAAAATAGAAAATACGTAAAAATGTTTATTTGTAGAGAAAACTAATTGATGGATGATCACCAAACATTGTCTGTAGCATTGTTGGGTAGTCTTTTATCAAAAGTTTTCTAATATTATTTTGAGTGGCCCCTTTTAGGGGTCTCTAGGGCTAAAAATAGAAAAACCTTTTAACAATCTTCTCCTACAGAACTAATTGATGGATGATCACCAAACTTTGTCGGTAGCATTCTCGGGTAGTGTTCTATCAAGTTGGCTCATATTAATTTGACTGGCCCCTTTTAGAGGCCACTTAAGCTAAAAATAGAAATACCGTAAAATGTATATTTCTAGAGAACTTATTGATGGATGATCACCAAACTTTGTCTGTAGCATTCTTGTGTAGTCTTTTATCAAGTTTGCTAATATTAATTTGATTGGCCCCTTTTAGGGGCCGCAAAAATCTAAAAATAGAAATACCTTTAAATGTTTATTTCTACAGGGGTAATTGATTGATGATCACCAAATTTTCTCTGTAGCATTTTTGGGCAGTCTTCTGTCAAGTTTGCTCATATAAATTTGATTAGCTCCTTTTCAGGGGTCGCAATAGCTAAAATAGAAAAACCTTTAAATGTCTATTTCTACAGAACTAACTTTGTCTGTAGTATTCTTGGGTAGTCTTTTATCAAGTTTGCTCATATTAATTTGATTAGCCCTTTTAAGGGGCTGCTTAAGCTAAAAATAGAAAAAGCTTTAATAAAACATCTTCTACTACATACCTTATTGATGGATGATCACCAAACTTTGTTTGTAGCATAGTTGGGTAGCCTTTAATCAAGTTTGCTCATATGAATTTGATTGGCCCTTTTAAGGGGCCGCTAAAGCTAAAAATAGAAATACCTATAAACGTCTATTTCTACAGGACTAATTGATGGATGATGACCAAACTTTGTAGCATTCTTAGGTAGTCTCTAGGGCTAAAAATAGAAAAAAAACTTTAAACATCTTCTCCTACAGAAATGATAGATGATCACCAAACTTTGTCGGTAGCATTTTCTGGTAGTGTTTTATAAAGTTTGCTCATATTAATTTGATTTGCCCCATTTTAGGGGTCACTGAAGCTAAAAATAGAAATACCGTAAAATGTCTATTTCTAGAGAACTAATTGATGGATGATCACACAACATTGTCTGTAGCAATTTTGGGTAGTCTTTTATCAAGTTTTCTAATATTATTTTGAGTGGCCCCTTCTAGGGGTCTCTAGGGCTAAACATAGAAAAACCTTTAAACATCTTCTCCTACAGAACTAATTGATGGATGATCACCAAACTTTGTCGGTAGCATTCCCGGGTAGAGTTTTATCAAGTTGGCTCATATTAATTTGACTGGCCCCTTATAGGGGCCACTAAAGCTAAACATAGAAATACCGTAAAATGTCTATTTCTAGAGAACTTATTGATGGATGATCACCAAACTTTGTCTGTAGCATTCTTGTGTAGTATTTTATCAAGTTTGCACATATTAATTTGATAAGCTCCTTTTTAGGGGTTGCTATAGCTAAAAATAGAAAAACCTTTAAATGTCTATTTCTACAGAACTAATGGATGGATTGTCACCCAACTTTGTCTGTAGCATTGTTGGGTAGTTTTTTTATCAAGTTTGCTTATATTACTCTGATTGACCCCTTTTAGGGACGGCTAGAATTAAAAATAGATATACATTTTAACATATATTGCTACAAAACTAATTG